GAAAAAATGAAAAGTTCATTTTGACTGATATCGTGTCTACGGTTTGGTTTTTGGGTTCGTATTTATCTGACTGGACAGTTTTGAAACCTGAACGATTTTGATTCGATCAAATCTTCACCGTTCGACAGGTTTGAAAACAAAGATATACCCGGAGCCCTACACTTGCCACATTTTTTTTTACCTGAAAGCAGTATTCAGATCTGACGAGCGACTGGTGATTGAAAGGGAATACCAAGGCAAGTATAATACGCTAATCGAAGCTCTCTGATGATCGAATTTATTCAGCCTTATGAAGGTTCGAGATGTTGAAAATGAATGACTGAACAATCTTTATGACATGGCTGATAATTAGTTACAATGACTCAGATGTATTCATTCTTTAACATCTTTGAAAGTTTAAACATTTTTTCTAACCCTCATTTTTTTAAATCTTCTCTCATGTACTTTTGTCTACCTCAGTATCACTCGTTTTCTAATCAATTGTTTTTGTCTTGTTGCTATGATGTGTAGCAAGTTAAAACCGATACGCTTCTATGACAGGCTCTATGTTGATTTGGTTGTCTTTGTCTGTCTGTTTCTTGATGTATGAATGCTAACAAAAGAGAATATATCATACAAATTGCTTACAATCAAGTGAAACTGATGAAAACATTTCAATAAATGTATCTCTAAATTTGTCTCATCAAATCATAATGTGTTTCAATGGAGATGACAGCATGCAATTTATGCCTTTCTATTGTTTCAGCGAAATTGCACTAACTGAATATGCTTTCATTATGAGCAAATTAATGATAAATAAAGTTTGAGTTTTATTGAGATTTTATTTTTAAGGTTGTATTCATCACGGACTGACATCAGATGGGGAATCATTAAAAACCTCGGACTCCTAAGCAGTACACGCACTCATGACCTGGCTGGAGATAGTGCTCACTAGTAACATACTTCGAGATGAATATCCCGAAGTTCTGTCAAGGAATCGTAATAAGTGGAGTCAACCAATCGGAAGTGATGCGGATGCCAACTGATGACGATAGTTGCTGTATATCGCGAATTGACAGAAATAAGAAACTGTGGACCACTGAACTTCGAACCAGTGGTTCCATGATTAAGGCGTTCTTTGTGAAAACTTCAGGTTCTGGTTTCGGTTCCCGGTGAGGCGATGTGCTTTCTGTCAAAGAGTCCCATACTAAGACGAAACAGCTGTAAAGTTCTTCCAGGTTTTTAATAGTTCCTCAACTGATGTCGCTTCGTGATTATACATTGACAAAAGACAATTCAACGAAGAAAATTTACTTCTCGACAAGTAATTTTCATTTGTATTTACGGTTACAACAAAAATATGTGTCCATTAATGGCTAAATGGGTCAACACAAGTTCATTAAAAACTGTTTATAGGATTACAAGGTCCTGGCTGAAAGGTCAATGCAAGGTAGTAACAAGGTAATTACTTAATAATCTATGGAGTGATAACGATAAACGATATATACATAATAAGTCTTTGATCTGTATTGTAGTATTAGTAAATTCATTTGATTAAATGAGTGACAAAAAAATTTTCAGAAAGACTATGTGCTAGGATTTGTCAGTCTTTACCCTAACCAATACACAGAAAGTATATAGTGTGAAAGCTATGAAGTCATCTTTTGAAAATGCCGTAAAGGCGACCAAAACATATTCGCCTTTCAAATACTATCCAAGTTATATTATATAACATTCAAGATAGTTACAACAGTGTAAGTGTATTCCTTGACCTAGAATATGACAACCTCAAACTGACCTTTAACTGATTTCCATTTATAGTCCTCACTATCCTGTGAAATCTATTGGCAGTAATAGGAATTCTGAGCAAGGAAGAACCTTTTTTTTGGTCAGTTACAAAGAAAAATGTATATATCATACTAATATACATGGATGGCTCACAAAGTCTGATCATCAAACAAAGACTTAGGGTCTTCGGAGGTAGTCCCTGACTCCTGAACTTTGTCAATTGCCTGCCAACCATGGCAACAGTATGGGCTGAAATGCCTAGGTGGGAGAGTTTGACCACGACAGGAGAAGGGCTGATACTAGCTGAGCAGTGAGTGGGATGTACTGCTGGCCTTAGCAGGACAACCAAGGATGAGCACTGGATACAGTCATAGGTAAGGAGGTACGGGTAAATTCCCGGGACTTTGGGGCCTTCTCCCATAGTAGGAATGCATGGCCTGTTGTGTACACCGTTTTTATGGAAAGGCACCTAAGTAGAGGCCGTGTGTCCTGTCAGTGACGTTTGATTGACCTGAGAAACTTAGGGAATACCTAGAAAACCAAAATAGCCATCTAAAGAACATACCTTGAAACAAAGGTTACATTATGGCAAATACTAAATTTATTTACTCTTGTAAACCTCGTAACATTTGAGCTAGTATTTGCTTTTCTGAGTTTACATGTGCGTATGGTAGCACATATAAAAGGAGGATACGCCAACCCATCGATCTATACTGGTAATAGCCAAACACCATATTCCGAAGTAGCTGCGACAATAAATAAAAACGAAGGATCCTATTTACCCAGATAATAGATGAACCTATTTACTAAACCTTTTGGGTGCACTTAGAAGTTTCCAGGTGTAGGACAGTTTCTCTCTTTTTTATGTATTCAAAAGCAGTTTGCTGTAACACTCAACCTCCTCCCAAGGTAAATCAGCTTTAGTATGAAAAGATTGATTGATTATACATCCTTCCTCCTCCTATTTATGATCTAATAATGGATATCATACCTCCTGAAATAATTTAAACATTATTGACGTTGAAACATCTTTTTGTGTCATCTTACTTCAAAACGATAACTGGATAACATTTTCTTTTCAAAATGAGGAGAAATGAGGTTGGCACCTTTTCCTTTAAACCTATTGGTTCTAGTTTATCACCTGTTTCTAAGATAGGAAAAGATGAATTTGGTTTTTAGCTAACCTAACCAAGTTGAGATTTGATGGTTTGAAAAAAATGTAGGCAAACTATATTCATTATTTTGGTATTTATATGTTGCCAATGAATGTAAACCAGCTGATGTCTCTCTGTTTAGTGCTAATACCTTTACCAAGGTTATACTAAGCCTGAATTTACAATATCCCCCAAGCTTATATATGATAACCTGACAAGTATTCTTCTGCATGAATGATTCTGAGTTGTCATAATTGCAGAAGAAAAATGATATCACTATGTCATGTATTGCGTGTGTATGAAGAGTGTATGAGTTACAGACTGAGATTTGTATGTACATGTGTGTTGGTAGTTGTCTTACCCCATGCATGATGGTTATGTCAGTATGTGAGGGTGTGTTGAGGCAAGGTTAAACTACGTTTTACTCCTCGTTCCCTCTTATTTAGACAATTACGATTCCATTAATGTGAAGAGATTCTGGTATGTGACGTTCTAAAGCCTTTCTGAATGAATTTGATACTGTCAAAAATGAAACTGTGACCTATGAGCTATGGCTGATGTGTTTTCAGATTTTCTCAGTTCCACTAGATTTCTGGGGGTTGGGTGGAAACTTCTCGGTGTTCAACTTTCCTAATTTCGATTTCACGGAGAGTTTATCCTATGTATACTGCATCGTAGTCTAAGCATTTTATTTTATAAACACAATTAGATTGCGAATCCAGAGGGATCTCATCCTTCGGATGCTCTGCAATCTGTCTGATGTTCTGTAGAACACTGATGATATTGTATTTGTTGAGCGCTCTCCTAATTTCATCTGATGTTTATGATCTGTAAGGGATAACTATTGTTGAGGCCCAATGATTAAGTAGTTTTACGACATAATTTAATGTTATTTTCTATTTTGCGAATGACCCCCGCCCTCCAGAAATCCAGTGGAACTGAGAAAATTTGAAAACACATCAGCCATAGCCCATAGGTTACAGTTTCATTTTTGACGGTATCAAATTCATTCAGAAAGGCTTTAGAAATCATAAAGAACGTCACATACCAGAATCTCTTCACACTAAGTGGAATCGTAATTGTCTAAATAAGAGGGAACGAGGGAGTAAAACGTAGTTTAACCTGGTCTCAACACACTCTCACGTACTGACATAACCATCATGCATGGGATAAGAATTATCAACAGAAAATGGGTACTGGGCTCGAGAATCAGCAGGAACAACATCACTCATTGGGGTCTGGGTACATCCAGCTGACTAATGAGTCCGAAATAGACGCGCATCCTGGATTCCACTGCCAATCACCAAGATGAATACAATATCCATCAATATCAAGGCATCCGCACAGGAGCCCATCTGCCAACAGTGGTCGATCAACGACTTAAATCACCAATTATATTTCTTCATTTCGGCTGGAAAGGTAGGTTTTGAGTGACTTTAAAGACCACTCTGAAAACGACTGAAAGGACTAATCAGGCTTTGCTATTCCGTCTTGAAAAGTACTTTTCCATAAAATAAAGGAATGTAACTGGCTTCCTCATCGTTGCTAGGGCAGCCTTTAAAGTTACCCAACTTTTTAAGAATGACTATTAAGTCGCGCTGGCAACAACTGGAAGACTGATTTTAAGAGACTTTATGAGAGTACTTTAAGAGGCTACCCTAGCAACAACTGAAGTAAGCAATCAAACTTCTGTATTTCTTTAAAATCTGCCTCTCAAGCCAAAATGAAGACACCTAATTGGTTATTCCGATCGTTGCTAGGGCGCTTTAAAGTTGCCCTAAAATACAGAAGTCTAATTGAGTGATTTTAAGGTCACCCTAGCAATTGATAAAACAACCAATCATGTTTCTCTATTCTATGAGTTATCTTCCCAGCTAAAATACCGCGACCTGAATGGTTATTTTGGCAAGTTAGGGGTGGCCTTTAAAAGTAGCTCGTCTAATTGGTTATTTTAGTTGTTGCTATGTTGGCCTTTAAAACCACTTGATAAGTAGGCGATCATAACAATTCAAATAGTTTGGTATTTAATAATGATCTGTATGGTTATTTTTTGTTTTAACCACTTTCATTGGTTTGAAGGCATTCTGCTTCATCAACAACATTTCGTCCAATGAGAGATTGCAGTCCTATACTTTTACGTGAAGGATGTTTAACACCAATTGAATCTGAAGAAAACAGTAAAAATAATAGCTTAAAGTATAGGAGTGGAATTACAACAACACCGAGTAATAATAACAATAATAATAATAATAATAATAATAATAATAATAATAATAATACAATCACTAGGCCTATTCACATTGATAATTATGATAAATTACAAGAGCCAATAACTACCAAATCACCTATGAATATGATAAAAAACAATCATTTATCGACGATGATGGCGACAACAACAACCGATTGGATATCTAATCCAACGTCTAAATCAAATTTTACACATGCACGACGTTCATCATTTAAACCAATTACTTCAGTTAAACAAAAACCTCTGTTAAATAACACTATGATCAATTCATCAACCATCACTAATAATCACAATCATAATAATAATAATAATAATAATAATAATAGTAATAGTAATCAGACATCTTTAACTATGAACAATACTACTAATTTAAATACTATACCATCAACTAATAATAACAAACAAAGTATTTTTCCTTCTCAACAAATACCAATGACAGCAACATCAACTCATCTAACTGGTGGAAGTACAATCACAAATACTAACAGTATAACTACACTAGATGAATCTACTCGAATTTGTACTTTATGCTTACGTGATTGTCATAACAGTAGGACTAATATTAAAAATATTTATACTATTAATGGTAATGGCAACCATCTTACGTTTGATAGCAGCAGCGGTGGTACCAATCCTTGTAATAACACTTTAAATGATTCCACATTAGTCTGTCAGTCTATCCTTTCAGATTATGATGAGTGTAATGATTATAATACTAATGGTAATATCAGTAATGAGGATAATAATACAAATGGAGGTAAATCCATATGTGGAGCTATATTTCATACAAGTTGCTGTAAAATCTGTAAGTTCCTAAATTTCTTTTGGTTCAATTAATTAGTTCCTTTCACTAAACATTATATGTATAATAATTATAATTTGTAAGGAATTAAATGTAATTGGGTTGTTTTTTTTTCTCAAAGTTTCTATGGCAATAAGTAAAATACTAGCGTGTTCTACTTCTATATCGATTCTTTCATGATTCTTTCGGAGTAAAATCCTTTTTAGTTTAGTGTAAAGAATCTTCAAAGAGCTAGATGATCGTGGTCGACCAAGTGTATTTTAGTAATGTCTGACTCAAGACAGTATCAAGCAAGTGCATCATGCCTATGAAAACTCTCTATATGCACTCATCCATCCATGTAAAGGCTTGCGGAGAGTGGTAATCTGAATCGTTGACAATTAGTTCTGTCCCTCAAGGTTTTCTGAACGCCTTGGGCGGAAATCTGAGCGGTTTGTCATACTCCTAGTACATATGAGGTGCGAGGTGGCGCTCCACGTCTGGTTTACAACTGCTCCCAAATTAAGGATAGGGAATGAAGTGATGGAATGTGTCAACCATTTTACTTACCTAGGGAGTTGCATAAGCCTGTACAGTCTGGTTACTGACTAAATCACAGCTTGAATGCAGCGGGTTCCTTCCGCATTTTTCAACTTGCACCATCCCTGACCCCGACTGGCAAGGCATCTGACTACCTATTGAAGGATGAGTATACTGCTGTGAGACATGACTGCTGAAAGCAGATTCCAAAAGATTACAAGTTTTTGACCAAATGTGTCTTCGGAGGTTTGCGTGCGTATAACAGATTCACCATGTTAGCAGTGTCCAGGTCAAGTGAAAGGTTCTAGGTAAGCCAGGCGTCATTTGATAAGGTTGTAAACCTTCAGCGACTGAGGTGATTCGAACGTGCATTACACATATCCAGCTACTGCCTAACCTCAAAGTGCAATGCCAAAGGAAGTTGGATTAGGTTGGAATAAGGTTTCAGGGTGGCTAGACCATAACATGTCACCAGTTGATGAAGTCTCTGACTGTTCTGAGCGGTGTAGAGAGGAGTAGACTGCTTTCTTAGGGTCTTCGAAACGATAGGAATCATTGTTTTGAAGTGACTGGAAGTGGGTCACTTTTTGGCATTTTCTAAGGTTGGGTATTTTCAGTAACCTTGTTTTTCAAATTCCCCTCTCATCTTACGCACTTTTCTATTTTTATGTCAGTCATTTTCTTTCATTTTTTTTTTGTTTGTATACTAGTGTGAAGTGGTGGCAACTTGAGGTGATGCACTTGTGTGCCAGGTTCTACTTTGATTTTGTCTGTCTGATCGACAGTTAGGAGAGTGGATTTGTTGTCATTTTTTTTCTTTGTTTCTTATCTTATTACAGATTTTCATCAAAATGGTGATAAATATGAACTGTCTATCATCTCATTCAATGTCTTTCTATATCATGCTTTTTAATGACTGACTTGTTGCACATAGAATCTCTGAAAGACTCAAACTGTGAAGGTCGTACATACTCTAAAAAAATTCTGAACATAAATGTCAAGGAGTAGTGAAGTTGAGCATTATATGTGTAAACTTCCTCTCCAGATCAACTCGTCCATCTGTAAGTTTTTATGACAAACGTGATGACTCCTGGGAAAACATGGACTTGATTCCAATAACTGCCACTTTCAAGGTAAACTAACGTGGAAGTAGTCATAGAAGTGAACTGTTCAAAATTCTCAGAATGGTACACTGCAAATACTTAATGCCCCCATAATTTTATGTAAGTACTTGACTGAGGTCAACTTATGACGATAATCCCCTATCCAAAGTACTATGACTCCCCACTTTATTGATCGAAACCTGAAGACTAGTTTTGTCATGAAACTTTTTAAGTATTTAAACCTATTGATCAAATGGTAAAGTGTTTATGGTAAGAGATGATGGTACTGAGATTGATCCCTTGTGTGGTTGAGTGCTCACTGTGGAGGTATAGTAAACTAAGAGGAAACAGCTGTCCACCTCTCCCAGGTTTTCATCGGCTCTGCAATTGATATCGATGCATACCTAAAACTACTTTCCTATAGGATTTATTAACATTGCAGTTATAGTGAATTAATGATATTATTCATGGACTGACATCAGTTAGAGAAAAATTGGAAACCTGGGAGCACTGGACATGTGTTTCTTCCTTGACTCCAACCCATCAGGAATCTAACCTAAGACCTTCAGGTTCCGTGGCCAGCACGTTACCATTGAGGGACTGGGTTGGCGGGATCCAACGGTTCATATTTCCAGCTTCTGTTGGTTCACGATGTAGCGCGAAAGGACCTGACGACCCTGGGTTCGATCCCTGGCGGAATCATGGGTGCGCACTACTGAAGAGTCTCGCACTAGAAAGAAACAGCTGTCTAGTGCTCCTAGGTTTCCAGTGGTTATCCAACTGATGTCAGTCTTCACAAATCCCTGAATTCAAACGAAATTAATGACTCCTAACCGACTTTAAAAAAATGGACAATGGTTAAAGGTGATTCATTCATCCATTTAATTTCACATAATACTGACAAGATATTATTGATGAAAAATAAAATTATATAAGCAAATTAGATATTTTTGATTTATCAATTTATAACTAACTTAATTAAACTCTCCGCTTGTTTATTTGTTTATTTGCTAACCAAATAAAATCATAAATAATTTGATTTGGAAAAAAAAACACAGTAAAACAAAATTATTCACACTTTAAAGTTATGACAGTTTGATACAAAGATGGAGTGTGAATTAAATACCATTTTAGTGATATGAGAAAAAACCATATAAACCATGTTATAATTTTATATTCGAACGAAATGTGTGTTTACCCACTATATATAATGTAAAAAAAAAATGTTACAACATCTAGTCAGAACAAGTTTCTGTACGCATATATGTAGTTAGATCATAATAACAACAATGAAATAGTGCCTTTTTTAAATATTCTTTTCAAAGGTGTATGACCGTTAGTCATCATTGATTCTTACTGAATTACAGTGTTTTCAACCATTAAAGCAACCTTATTCATTTGTAATATATATTTATATGCAGTTAGTACTTGCATACAAATAGACGATGTGTGCTGCATGTGATATGTTTGTAGGTCTTTTTTTTTATCCGTTTTTCTTTATATTGAAGTTCAGGGTGTTAGATGATAGTGAATGATGAACAGTCTGTCCTTAATTGGTTAGAAAGGAGGTTCATGCACACATGTGTGTGATATTTTTGTTATTAGAATATGATAGATCACTGAATAGGCATAGAATTAAAGGATTTTTGGGATTTTGATTACTTGTGTGCTTTGCTGATGCCTGTTGGTTGAACGTTTTTAATTAGGTTGAAAACTAAACGTCTGAGTCTGCTTATAACCAAGATCATTTTTGTCATACAAAGGCTCTTCCAGCATGTGTAGTAAACACCTTAGTTGACGTCTGTGCTTTGAATAAATCGTTTATACGCCAACCTAACTGTCTCATCTCACTTTTTCTACACATATCCAATGAAGAATGTTGTCTAGAGTTCATCGAGGAAGATACTTTCAAATGTCTCAAATCCCTGAACCCTTCGCACAGTTCAGGTTCGGATGGTATGTCAAGCTTGGTATTCATGAAGTTTGCTGATATTTTATGCCATCCACTAGTCAACATATTCACTAGATCGTTTTTAGAAAACACCGCACCACCTGTCTGGAAAGATATCAAGATGGTCCCCATACCCTAAGTCAGGGACTCTAGGCGCAGGTCCAAAATCCCGTCTGGTTGCAGTTACTTCTCCGTTCTTGAAAATAGTGGAGAAGCTAGTAGTACCTGTGCTCGAACCCTCATTGAAGGCTTTCGGAGACCCAAATCTATTTGCATATAAAAGCAGCAGAAGCACTCCAGATGTCACACTGTCTTATATCACAATATTGCTTATGATCTTGATAGAAATGCCAAGAATGTCAGATGTACCTTTTTGGACCATACTTGAACATTTGATTCTGTCCCAAGACCACTTTTGCTGGAGAAGCTACACGGGACTAATACTGAGTCCTGAATAATTGACTAGCTGTATTCCTCCTTCTCTGAAAGGAAACAACATACTTTTCACAGAGGGAATCGCCCCACCTCATTGCTTACTGTGACTGGTGTTCCCCAAGTAGCCCCAATTTCCGCCTGTTTTTCTTTTTCTTTACAGATGTGATTTATCTCGGTGTGTTTTTCCTTCGGACCTTTCCTAGTCCTCCCACATCTCACTAATTTTCAAAAGAATTTTCCACCTAACTTCTTATATTAGGAAGCTGAGAGTATCCAGTATTACTCAGCCTCTCCTCTTGTATTTTATAAACTCCCGTGTCTTGCCTGTTCTCCTCTGGTGTTCCCCTTTATTCTTCCCTGGATTGCTGAAAAACGACTATGCTGTATTGCGTAGAACTTAGCAGACTGTCAAAAGAACCAGTGGTATACCTGTAAACCTTCTAATTAAAACTGATGTGGACAAACACATTAACTCATATAAAGATGTGGCAGTTATTTTATGAGATGACCAGCATCGTCTTCACTCAGGGCTCTGTGTATGTTGGTCATGTGGAAAGACGAGGAGCAAGTACATAAGACTTTATGCACGTACTACAGAATATGAAAACTCTACTCTACAATACAGTACATATTTGCCTGGTATTGTGTTCGATGAAGAAAGTATTAGGAATGAACTAAGTAATCAACTTGTGTTTTGAAAGCAAACTAATTAATGCGTATACAGCATGTTATTATTTATGTATTATAAATATAATTGTTGTTAATATGATTGTTTACCTAAATTAACTCTGCATTTTCAAAAAAGTTGTATATGGAGTAAATACTCTTATCTTTTATGTGTAATTTATACTCAAGTCATTTTTGCTCTGTATACTTGTACACTGTCCAACTGATGCTGAATGACATGTTGAAAATTCTGTAGTGTATTCTCGAAATAGCTTTCGGAATAAAGCCATTATTATTATTATTGTTTCTAATCATGGAGTAGTTTAGCG